GGTATTAAACCTGTAACAACTAAACTTTTTAATAATTTAAACATTAAGGAGCTTTTAAATAAAAAGGGTCTTCAAAGATTAATCGGTTTTTTTAACTAATTTAAAGACTTAATTCCAACCTTTCATCAAGGTTAGCTCTCATAACACACATGACCAGTAAAATGTAAAATTTAAATGAACACAACTTCATAAAGATATTATAAAAATAAATATTTAATGACTTAAAAAAAATTAAATTTTTATCCAGATGTCAAATTACCATTTACAATTTATACAGATGTAAGTTACACCAATGTTTGTATTTCTCGTTCAACAATCAAAACTAATAGGGTTATTTAGTCGTAAGTTGAATGAGGCTCAGTGTAAGTACACTGTTACTGAGAAAGAATGTTGAGCTATTTAACTAATTTAGAACACTTTAAAAACATTATTTTTAATTCTGAAATAACAATCTTTACTGACCACTCTAATATGTTATTTCTCAACTCTTCAAAGTATCAAAGAGTTCAGAAATGGAGGATTCTTATCGAAGAATATAACCCTAATTTTAATTTTATAGAAGGCAAATCGAACATGGCTGCTGATTTTCTTTCTAGAACATTACTTATTCAAGAAGAAGAAGAGGAAAAGAAAGCTAAAGAAACTGATGTTAAATTCTATAAGGAATATATTCATCCCGGTTTAAAAATACTTTTTAATAACATAAAATGAAAATTTCCTAATGTAACTCGGTAATTAGTGGAATCTGTAACTTCATAATGTGAGATTTATCTTGGTAATAAAATGTTAAATGTTGGGTATGGGCTCCTAAATGGTGAGGTAATAACAGACAAGCCTTGGAATATTGTGAGCTTAGATATTATGAACAGCTGGGTTTTATTGAAGAAAGAAAACTTTATCTGCTTCATATCATTGATAATACCTCTAGATACACAGAGTTAAGATAACTAAAGATTATTATAGCATATGAAGTTTGTAAGATTGGCATTCTTTTAATCGCGCCCCATTTTCCGATTTGCGCCTCATAAAATTTTATTAAATAAAAATTTTTTACTAATTTTTTAAAAAATTTTACATCCTTAATGCAGTATAGTGAGCTATTAGAAGCTATTTCAGAAGACAATATTCTTTTAAGCTTTATAGAGTTCATTGGAGCCATGAAACTCATGGGTGGAAGGCAGTATGGATTTTGTGAAAGCAAAAGACACTCCGTGGGAATTAGAAAGAGAGTTGACAATCACTTCTTTCTCCGGTGTAAGTTGTGCCGTAAAGAGCAAAGTCTCTTTGCGAATATCTTCTTTTGTTATGGAAAGGAAGAGCACGACTTGTAACATCAGTTCTCAAGTTGGTAAAACCTATCTTTCTTTATTTTAAGAAAAGAACAGTATCATACATAATGACTGCGACCCGAATTAAAGGAATTGGTACAGTGACCAACTGGACTAATTTCATCCGATTAGAAACTCAGAATTATATTATGAGCGAAAAATTAGGAGAATTGTGAAAGTTGTACAAATAGATGAATCTCTTTTTAGAGGTCGTCGAAAGTACAACCGAAAAAGACTTCTTCTTGATGACTTTATGGAGAGTATTGATGATGCTCGTCGTAAAATTAATTATGGCGAACGTGTCAATGGACCATGGGTTTTTGGCATGGCTGAAGAAGGATCCAGGAAGGTCAAAATGTTTGTTGTGGAAAAGAAAGATCGATATTCTCTGCTTTCTCTTTTGCTTGAACACGTGGATAAGAATAGTGATATCAATAGTGATGGTTGGAAAGCTTTTTCTGGACTGGGTATTGTGTTTAACGACTATAAGGTCGTAAATCATTCAGAAAATTTTATTAACCCCAATACTCGTTGTCAAACTCAATTAATTGGGTGTGTTTTGGGTCAAGCAAAATTGAAGATTGTTACATCACATTGTGACAATACTAAAATGTAAAAGAAATATATGTTTAAAAGAATTTATTTATTAATAATTATCTTCAATATTGAAATATTAATATTAATTGTTTGTTTGTAA